ATTAATTGACAGCTTCAGTCAGTCAAATGTTCGTATAGCATACATTATACGAAGTTATACGAAAGAGAACTAGAGAGTTAAGTGCTCTTGAAGTGAAGTACTATGCCTGGGAACGAAACTAGAAAAAGTTAGGAAAGAATAATGTGATCGTACCTCTACGGCAGCAGACGCACAGCACAGAACTTGACCACGACCCATCGCATTCAGCACGCGACCAAATTCTAGCGATCCCGCCTCTCCTACCCATCGTCGACATGCGCTCGGCTGCGCGTGGCTTTGAAATAATTGCAAAAAAACAGTAACAAACATTATGTGTTAAGGAAGCGCAGCCATCGACACGCATGTGCGTCCCCTCAGACCCCTACAGTCGAGCTCCAGACGATTACAATTACTGAAACAAAAGTTGCTTTCTAATTTGCCTTAGACCACTTTCAAAAAGTGCGACTTATGAACTTACCAGGAAAGGCATTCAACTTCCCATGAAACTTCAAAGCATTAAACTAGCCTCGGGCTTTCAAAGTCGCCGCGGAGCAGTGATGGTGCCCTCGCTATTCACCCTTGAGGTCATAAGCTCTCCTCCCGTCGGAGCACAAATCCGAAGAGCACTACCATTACTCCACGGTGACTCTGAAAGCCGACACAAACCAAGAGGCTAGTGTAATGCTTTACTTCCAGCCAACTTTGACTGCTCACAACTTCCTTGGCAGGTTCATTTTGCAGTTTTAGTTTCCATATTTGTAATCAGCGTTTGAAGCTCTATCGATATATCTGGGTCTCATCTCAAAGTTCCATGGGAAGTTGAATGCCTTTCCTGGTTAGGGTGATAGCAGCGCTTACAGTATACGAAGCTCAGCAAATCGATTGAACATATTTCACCATTGTGACGTCTTCAAACTGCGAGGCTACTTCCCAGATCTAAAAGCGTTGTTATTGGCAAACTAAATATGAAGTATTGGTCCGAAATGGGGCAATAAAAAAAAGTCGAAGAATCCGTTAACTAAAAATGAAAAGCAGCCCATTGGAAATCAAGGTGGAGGTGGTCAGTGATGAAGAAAAAATCATGGGAAACGGCTGAAAACCCTAGAAGAAAAACCGGAACTCATAGGCCCAAAGTTAGCGGCTCAGACTCACCTAAGGAAGTCCCTTGCCACGCTAGAGGTGGTTGAGCGTACGCCCCTTCACCTATTGAGTGCAGTCACCCGATCAATTTTATTCGCTGATGTGCCTTCAAGAAAGGAAGAACTCCTTTTCTGCCATGATATGGCACTTAACCGTCAATCGGCTATCGACGCCGATCGTCAATCAATACGCTAACGCTCGCTCTGCCTAAACGGCCAGAGTCAGACAGGCAAGGCGGTGACTTAGCACGTGGGCGCCATGGAAATTTGTCAAAAATCACTTTGCGAAATGTCCATTCGAATCATTTCGGGGTCCGCCTGCCTTCTCATTGAAGTAGGTAGGTTTCTCCTTGCTCGACCTCCGGCTTAATCGTGGAATCCTCTGTTGAGGGTCTAACATCTTACGGTACAGACCGACGAAAATCGTCACGTCTTCTGCCTGGATTGTGACTTTGAAGAATGGGTCCCCTTATGCAACTATAGCCTTGGAACTGTTATTGGAAGGTACACCTTTACTGCACCAGGCCCTTCAAGCCATGTTTTGCACTTCTGTTCCAAGACCACAAACGCCAGGGCGCCTTCTTTTTTTGAATTTCGTAAACTCCAACATGCAAAATCGTTTATTTTGGTGGTACAGCACATCCTTTTTCTTGTTAACCCTGAAAAATGCCGTCGTAAATCTTCAACATCAATTGATGGTCGTTCAGGGATGAGAGCTTGAGCTCTAAAGCAATATCGACCTGTCGCTATTTGCGGAGACACGACGACAAAGACACCTTACCCAAATGGGTTGCCATAATGCTAAAAGCACATTGCACTTTTGCAATTTGGGTATTAGTGATTCAAATATGTAATACTGTGGATAGAATGTGACCCAACAGTAAAGAGAAGCCAAACAAACGTCCCCGACGCCCAGAATAACCCTTCCACAGTCCAGAAAAACTGCGCCTCGGCTAGAGGTTGTGAATACGGGGTGCAGGAAAGCATGGAGATAGATAGAGAGACGCATAAAGTAGCTGGTCCCCAAATTCAAGGTATTCGTTGCAGAAGGGAAGGGTTCGCGGGCGTTTCAATCCCCCGATACGCATCATAAAACCGTGAAGATGGCATAACATACTTGCTATCTGACCAATCTGAATACATCACAAGCGGACAAGATTGTACCAGTGGCTCACGCATTTTAGAGTTTCTCTTCCCCGTGTGAAGCTTTGGTCCTGTTTTCAACAACAAAGGACATGTGTTACGCGGCTTTTAAAGGGTGTACCACAGACAGGCCAAACAGGGTCAAGCGAGACGTCGAGGAAAATTTTGAAATACGACCCCCCCTCCCACAGACGAAGTCCATGAAACGAACCCTCTTCACAAGCCAAACTATGAAAAGGTTGTTTAATCCTCCCTCAAAGCTGTTCATCAAAAGGGACTGCTACCCTACAATCCACCCAAAAGGTCGCTCAAAAAGTACAAAAGGTAGACAAGTCAAAAGAGATATGGTCATTACTGAGTCTAACCAACGAGCGCAAACGAGAAAAGAGAAAAAAAATCGACAGACTAATCTCGAAAAATGGCATACTATGGCAGATCTCGCTCCCTTACTGTTAATTGTCGCTTTCGGGAAGACTTTTCAAGGTTTGTGCTCACAGAGCACCAAATTCAATTTACACATCTCCCTTTTCAGTTGAAAAAAGCCTTGTAACCGCCTTAGCCAGCTGTGTGTTGACTGGACTTTGGCGTTGACCGTGGAGCAGCTTATTTACTATTGAAATTTGAACAAATATTCAAATGATTATAACTTTCTTCAAATATGACGAATTTTCAATCTGAAAGCAGATTTGGAAGTTTTGTGAAGAGCTCTTTTCTAATCAGTATTTAAAATTACAAAAAGTTATAAGAAATACCAAATTTAGCTAAATTAACGAGGAAAATTTATGGTGAGCACGAGTTATTCACAGTAATCCCAAGACATTACTGGTGCTCTTTTCTCAATCTGGAAGAGTTTAATATGGCAGGTCATGACGAACTAGAAGATTTTCTCTATCAAACGGTTGCTAAAGCAGCTTCATACGTCCAGTATTCAAAAAATGGCCACGTTGAGGATTTTTGCAAAATTAACGAGGAAAATTTGTGATGAGTGCGAGTTTTTACACTTTCCAAAGCCATAACTCCGTTCATTTCATCAATTCAAAAAGTTGATACGTCATACAAAACTAGAAGATTTTCTCTATCAAACGGTTGCTAAAGCAGCTTCATACGTCCAGTATCAAAAAATGGCCACGTTGAGGATTTTTGCCTGAGTACCGCCGAAAGGTACTTTTCCGCTGCAGTGGCACTATTTCAACGACTATAGGTGCCTTCAGGGGCGAATTTCGTACAAAAATGGGAGCAGATCGGAACCCACGAGCTTTTTCTTTCCAACAAGTGTAAAATTGTTCGACGAATCTCAACTTCAACACTTATATGTTCATAAATTTGACGCTGAAAGCTGCATTTCTTGTTTAACAGTGGACTCCTCCCTGTAATTTCACACCGACCCTTTCAGAATCCTCTTGATTTTTCCTGAATTGAGATTCTTTCTCCAGAGAGCCGTAGCTTGAAGCGCGCGCAACCAACTGGGCCCACTCTAGGGATGCGCCGTGTGCTTCACATCCCTTCGAATTTGAGGACTCACTTGAAAGATAAATATTTCATAAAACTTTACTCGGATCTTGTATTATAAAGTTTTTCCCAGTACGACCTACCCTGATACTTTGCCCTCTTATGGAACTCGTCTCCGGGAATTAAATTTGAAGAGTCTTTTTCACAGAAGGATTATATCTGATCTGGTTTTTGCATTTAAGATACTTAAAGGCGAACTGCGACTCCGGCCATCAGAGTTTTGGGTATTTCGACCTACTAGTGGACGACGAGGCGGCTTCCAGTTTTTCGGTCATAAAATGGGCAAACTCCAGAAACAACTCCGTTACAACTGCTTCATCTTACGCACAACCCGTTGGCTGTCACGTCTGCCTCCATCCGTTTTTTCATGTGAAAACTCTTCTCAGTTCAAAGCAGCCTTGAACAGACTAGATATCTTGGAAACTCTTGGCGTGGAAGACGTAACGTAGCTCTTACAATTGGCCTTGTTCCTATAATGTACACTCCTTTTGGTCGTTCAAACAGAGTAGCTTTCTCACTTGTCCCATCCTTGGCGTGAATGGTACTTTTGATTCCCAAATGGCGCTAATTATCTCCAAATGAAATGGTCATGAGGTCTCTGGTCTGAGTCATGGTATGCTGCGCGGCGGGTTTTGCCAAGTTTATCGGTTCCACGTGGGTGGTCGGCATACCCGTGTTTCGAAGTGCCGATGAGCTCCCATGACCCCGTCAGTGGCGCAAAGGGCATCATGGCCGTCAGTGGCTGCAAAGGGCATCATGGCCGACTGGTGCTGGCTTACCCTGCAGCGTGTATCCCATTTATCTCCAGGCCAGAGCCTTCATAGCCCTTTGAGATTTTAACTCAAAGTTAGTGTCAGTTCCAGTAAGTACAGTGCCATTCTTACTTTTCGGCTCTTGATTTGGGGAAAGCTTCCTGCCTGAACGACTTTCTTTCGTTTGTATTCTCTTGTTGTCATTTTTCTTTCTATAACGTGTCCACTAATCACGGGTTTTTATAGCTGGTTATTTTTGTTTCTATTCATTCCTTTTTATTTGTTCTTTTCTGAATCTGCATTACAATTTTGCGTGCAGCCAAATGTTTCACTAAGGGCGTCATTGAACGCACAGATAAATAAATAAATAAATAAATAAGTTAAGATAAAAATGAGAATTTATTCACAAACACGTGGATATACACATAGATAGTAGATAGATGTTCACTTGTTATGTACAGGTGTCGGTGTTCGACGCTCAGGCTTTTGGCTCTGCCTTCTAAATATATTTTGTTTAGAATGATTAACAAAGTGAATATGAGCGTAATAATATTATATCTAAGCGATTATTTCAGCTTAGTGCTGGTATGGGTCGTGAAAGTGATTTCTCCGGTAAGCACAGCTGTTTTTATGTATTGGTCTAATGGACAGTAGAACTCGGGTGACAATAGCGAAAAATACTGGATGAGCCTCGATTTTTGTTTTGTGAATCATACAGTGCCTTCTGGAATTCTGAAATGAGAGGGCAAAAAGCAATCCCCCCTAAGTATGTGCAGTTAATAACGGTTCATCATGCCCAGTTTGCGCTATCTAGCTGCAAATATACAGGGGTGGCCAAAAAAGAGACACTTCACTCCACATTTCAGACAGCATTAATCACACTTTGCTAAACTCAAGCCGACTGCTCCCAACTTAATATTGAGCACATCCCAATCTATCAATAACTATTACAGCTCGTAGTAGCTTTCTGCACCAAGGACATCACAAGAATTTGCCATGGGAACCTTGTGCACGGTTCGAGCTCAACGTGGTCCTCGACGGATCATGGACCATTACGACGTTATCTGAAAGCTGGTCGGAAGGGTCTTGCATATTAGAGCTACTGTCCCTACGAAGCAATTATCAGTGAACCGATTAAACAAATTTCGTAGCAGCTTCAGGATGGAACGATTACGGTAGGCCTTCTTGAGCTCAACGGTGATGGAAGATGACGTCGTATTTTGAGGATGGTGAGGGTACTGGAAGAGGGTCTGGTTCTGCTTGTAGGAGCGCATTTAAAGGCACGAGTCGGGATTGAATTGATGCTTTATTTTGTTCAAACATTAGGCAAGGGGTGCAATGAGGAACATTAGTGAGGAGAAAAAGCAAAAAGCACCATAGAAAACACTAAATTTCCCTTAGGAGGCCGGCCGTAGTACGACGGAGAGACACAGCGCTGCGAGGAGAGGGAGAACGCGAGATAGTACGTCGTACGCGAGAGGACGCAGAGACCACGTATGCCGTGGTGGATTACGCTGGCAGCGCGGGCAGCGCGGCGGGCAAGGCCTTAGCGCCATTGCCGCGCACTTTTGGGTCGCGATAGTGTCGCGCCCTCAGTGCTTGGGGAGCCCACTATCGCACCCTGGGAAGAACTTCTGCTGGTTGCCTAATCCTGACTCGTGGCTTTAAGGGATATTTCGCTGTTGAAATTTCATCATTAAACGTGTGCTATGAGAAGTCGTTGATGTGCGTCCATGAGCAGAGTGTCTCTTTTTTGGCCACCCCTGTATATTTTTTCGGGTAGCCTTTCGGATGTGCAATGCATTCAGCTCTTCGACTATACCATCGCAGGTAACTGTTCCAGATTTTCCTGCGTATTATACATTACTCACCGAGATACTTTAATTGGAAGTAACTATTCGCGTTCAGCTGGAGAAGCTCTCACGATCAGAGATAACACCCCTACGAATAATTTATTGTTGAAAACGTACCCGCTCGGCCTTGTAATTGTCGATCATCCTTCGAAGTTTGTTACCGAAGTCTGGGTGCACCTGAATCATGACCATATTTTATTAGTAAAATAGATGTGGGTGATGTATGTCTATCACGGAGGATTTTCAAGTTCTTTGTCCGAATCCATCACAGAAAATTAAGTGAATATCAAACGCCTACCTGTCCGAAGTTCTTAATGATGCGGTCTTGAATGAATGGTTTGCAGTCCTTCATATTCGTGAAACAGTTCTCTACAAGACGATCTTGCTCTGCCGGGCTCAACACCTTAAAAAGAGAAAAACTCAGGAAATCGATCGCCTCTTGATACAAATGTCAAGTACCTTTTCCCAGAACACTCGTGGCTGTTCGAAGTTATCTTCGGTGATAGATTCGTGACGTGCGACGTCTCCTGTTACACTCCATCTGCTTTCTAGTGCTCTTGGGCACTCCACATGGCCGTTGAAACTATTGGGGAAGTAGACTGGAGCATTTCCTGAATAAGCATAAAATATCATTACGGTTTTGAGTGGTATGGACTGAGACCAGAGCTATATTGCGGGGTGCGTCAGGTGGTGCATAGATGTGAGAAAAACATAAGACCGGTCGAACCTAGAGGTAATGTGGCCTTCCCGCCACTGTCTGTCCAAACGTTGGATGGCTCACGGGACGTGCTGCGATGGTCACGTATACGGATCTCTATGCTTAGTGCGGCTTAGAAGGATGAGCGATGAGGGGGTAGGGCAGCTGTCGTGGCTCGAGCAACGTTAATTCTAGGCAGCTGAGCATACTCCCCGGGCATACTTGTAAATCCCGCATCTTTCCGACTTGGACCTTCGACCGTATCTCGGGATGAGATGATCCTTTAATCCTTGGCGAACAACGGGTTTTTGCACGCGGTGCCCTCTGAAATGACGGACTACCTTTGGCGCATTCAACTGTCACTCAAAACGGCAATATTTTCCCGGAAAACAGCTGCAAAGGGTCTGACCATGAGTTCGACCACTGACAATGAGTACATGAAACCGACCCGAGATGAGTCAGTCCTCGCGTTTTGTGTGCGTGGTAGCGATATTAGAAAAGACGCTCAGAATCCATAGAAATAATCGCTATTAAACCTATGGCTGGAAGACAAAGGAAGGCAGATTGTCAAATATTCTGCTCAACAAACACACAGTATAAAGCAATGCACAAAATTGAACCAACTGGGCCGTGGGGAGGGTCATGCTAGATCGCGGGACATATCCTTCGATGCGAATTTTGTGTCGGTCCGCACCCTCAGAGGAAAGTCCGCCTGTCTCTCCTCTAGGCAAGTTTCTCCTTCTTCGACTTTGGCCCTTATGGTGGAATCTTTTTGTGAAAGACCAAGTTCAAGTAGTCCGAAGCAGACAGGTAGAGAGGTAGGTGACTGCAGCTCTCTACTTGTCAGTTTGGAGACTGACCATGAGAAAAACTACCCGTGATTTGACATGCACTATGAACGAACAAAACGAAGTTTTAGAAGATAATGGGATCCTTCTGCCTTTGGTAGACGCTGAAACTGCGTAACCTTGCGAACTTCATCTTTTTTCGTGTGCAAGGGTACGGTCACAAATTCGCTTGCTTTAATCTCTGACATAATTACAAGAAAGAAAATGACGTGAGCAGCAAAATTTATGAAAGCGCTAGAAACGTCAAAACTATGAAAACTCTCAGCTAGTTGTATGAATGTAGTTGCCTAGCACCATTAAACTATTAACATTAGAAGAATGTAAAATGACTGCAGGGTTTCATGTGATTATATGATGATATCATTTCTAGATATAGAACAAAGAGTTTCTTATATGGACTGTATGCAATAAAGCCTGTCACGACGCAAATTAAGATAAGACTTGAGACACAGAAAATAACTGATTATTTGTAATTGTAATCCAGCCACTCTTGCTATCTCTCCGTAGACTAGAGCACTCGCTTTGACTGTCGCGACACTATGATCAGATAATAAGCTGGACGACCATTTTTAGCCGTACTCTTGATAAGACTGGTGACTGGCCTACATACGCACATATTGCTTGGCCCACAATCCTATCCAGTTTTCTGCACCAGGTCATCCACCCTGGAGCGCCTCCACTTTCAGGCCAAAGCAAATCTCCATTTCCCTGGTTTAGGCCAGTTTCGTTGGACCATGGGGGCGGAAATGTAGAAGCATCTCAGGGTTCCATTCATACATTACATCGATACTTATCAAAGTCTATCTTCAAGTAGTCGATTGCGTATGATGAGCACTGCTCATCTTTTATCTCATTGCCTCCGTACCTGGATTTCCACGCGAAACCTTAAGTAATAAGCTAACGAAGTGTGGGTCCCGAACCGACTTCTTGTTGTGTGGCACATACCTCGCTCATCCGGCCATATCAAAACGCTCAAACGTTTCATTGCCTTTTATTAGACCCTATCGCAGGCTCTACCTCGATGAGTGCTGCTTGTGGTAAAAATAATAACTCGTATAGAAAAAATAAAAGTAATGTAGTCTAACCTGGCTCCTCCCCGACACGCAAAGCCCAAGTCCGTCTCGTTGGGTGTTGTGAACTCGAGCTCGGAAGGGACAGTTTATGGGCAATTGCATGAAATTTGGACCCAAGCGATGGAATTGTGTATCCTTGTAGGAGAACAGTCGGCCCTCAAGCATCTTGTCTGGAGAAAATTCGATTCCAGGAACCACGTGGGCTGGACAGAAGGCTGCTTGTTCCACCTAAAAATGACTAATATCAAGATTTTCCTTGAAACTAATGGTAAGTCTGGAAGTGGATAAAAAACTGTGTATTCAACTGCGAATACGAAGTTCATGCTCATCGATTACTTCATCGTCATGAATATGGATGGCACAGATCTTTTGAAAAAAGCCTTCCAGCAAGATCCAAAGGATGAGAAGAAAACCCTCACCTCCCCTGATGGAAATCAGCGCGAACGCCTAAGACTGCGATTCTACACCGCAATTCGCAGCCCAACACTAATCCCGTCAGCGATCTAGCATGGCCGTCGCCTGCGCCGCTATAGGACGCGATACGCCACCGACTAGCTCACCATGGCCGCAGGCTCTCAGGAGAGAAGCGTTAGCGTTGAAGTGAACGCCCCGGGAAGTAGCATGCAAAATGCAGAAACCGTAGGCAAGTCCCACTCTCGGCGTTTCTGAATCGTTTTATCATGGTCTTTGTTTACATCCATTACTAGGGGGGGGGGGGCAATAAAAAAGACATTTTGTCTCCAGACTCAAATGGATTTAATCACACTTTGCTCAGCTCAAAGCGTGTGCTCCCAACTTAGAATTGAAGAGCGCATTTCATTTCATAAGAAAATCTTCATAGTGGCCATCTACGTGGACGGCATCAGAAAAGTTTGCCCCGGAAACATGGTGCTCTGGTCGAGCTCAATGGGGTTCTCGACTGATCGTGTACCGTTACGACGGGTTCCGAAGGGCGGGTTCCGAGGGGTTTGCATAGTTAGAGCTAATGTCCCTAGGCAAACTGATCCCACGTTAGAATCGATCCAAGAAATTATGTAAGAGCTTCAGGCTGAAGCAGTTACTGTAGGCCTCCCTGAGCTCGACGACGGTGACAGATGACGTCATATTCTGAAGACGGTGAGGGTAGTGAAGGAGGGCCTGCGTGTACTTATAGAGGGACATTTAGGGAATATTTTGCTGAGGAACTTCCGTCAACGACGGCAATCTCTGCGAAGAAAAAAAGGCCGAAGTGCGACCTGGGCAAAATGTCTTTTTTGCCCCCCCCCCCCCTGTATATTGTATTCTCCTTTAGCATAACGCACCTCCTCATTGCTTGACATATCACGGAAGCTTGTCGCTAAATATGCTTTTGAACTAACCTCAGCAAAATAGTTCTTCGGATTTCTATTGAGTGTCATTGTTCCAACGGGAATCAATGGATATTCGGTATGTGGCCACACTTTGGTGATATCGAATGGATTCATCGGAAAGGCTGCCGCTTGCTCAAATGTCATCAGCTGAAATCAGGCTTCCTAATTTGGTTTCGAGTTGCTCAACAATTTGCTCCTACCTGGATGCATAAATTCCACTTTGGGTATTCACCCCTTTCAATCGCGTTGTACAGGTCTTTGATCGCATAATCGGGATCTTCGCCACCAAGTCGAAGGGCTTCTTTTGCAGAGAGGTTTTTGATCTTTTCAGCCTACAAACGTGAAAACATTTTGGCATTTTTCCACCAAAAGTTTTCTGCGATTGAATGCAAACCGCAAAACTTACTCTGAAGTGGAATTTACAGTAAATCGGCTCTCCCGCTGCGTTGACCATCTTGAAGGCATGACCTCCGTAGCCGTGCATGAAACGAAAACCGTCGGGAGTTCCTCGATCAGACATTAGGAACATCACCTAAAAATTGATGATTCGTTTTGGAAGACCTCTTTAACATCTTTCCTAGGTACCTGATGGGTGGATTCGGGGCGAAGGCCCCAGAAGTCCCAAATTGCATTTGCGTCTCTAAGGTGAGTCTGCGGGTTCCTCTTAAGGGCGTGAATGAAGTTTGGAAACATGATAGGATCACGAACGAAGAAAATCGGCGTATTGTTGGCAACCTGAACAGCTACTTTTTGAGTAGATGCACTAACGCAGGCTTGGGAGCAGTAAGTCACTAGAAATTACCATATCCCAGTTTCCTTCCTCGGTGTAGAATTTCACAGCAAAACCACGCGGATCACGGGCCGTGTCTGGTGATCCGGACTCTCCAGCTGAAACATACTCGATAGAAGTTCTTCAAGCTTGTAAAAACATTAGATGCTAATCATTCACTGGTCCAGCTTTTAAAATTCCTTCTTCAAAATTGACTGAAGAATGGTTTTGTAGTTGCTATGTTTTCAGGAAATTGCGAATGCTTCTGAAAGAGTGTAGGGACCCAATGGCACCATATATTGAAGCTTCACTGCCCTTAAGTCTTCAGATTTAAGGCTGGATTTTTCTCGAATGCGTCCAACGGACATTTCGTCCCCGGAGATAGCATAAGCTGATCTAGAGAACACGCGTATCGCATTTGATCGGCACTTGCGCCATAAGTGGTGGCCCCATTCCGTTACTAACAGGCGGAGATTAGGATGAAAAAGCAGCCCTTTAGAAATTAGGCTCGAGGTGGTCCGTGGTGCAGTAGTGAAGAAAAGAAAAAACAACGAGAAACATCCCAGAACTGGAAAACGGGACTCCTTCTTCGCCCGTTGATTTCCACATTGATGCTACTCTCATCAGTGCAGTCCTCTTCAGCGCTAACGCACTCTCTACAAAAGGGCTAGATTCTGACGGCGAGAGAGTGGGCGGGTAGCGGCGAGAGCAGCGTGATCCCCCCCTCAATACAGCTGGAAGTATACTTTTCGTGCGAAACGCGAATCACGGCACCCTCAGGGCCCCTTGCCTTTC